AATCCTAGTAGGACATTGAGTCCTCTTTTGGGAGATAATCCCTATCATAAAAGAGATATGATTTCTTAACCTTATCAGATTAAGTTTAATAGTTTAAATAAGAGTTGGAATCTTAGTAGGACACTAAGTCCTATTTTGGGAGATAATCTCTATCATGAAAGAGATATGATTTCTTGACCTTATCAGATTAAGTTTAATAGTTTAAATAAGATTTGAAATCTTAGTAGGACACTAAGAACTATTTTGGGAGATAATCCCTATCGTGAAAGAAATATGATTTCTTAACCTTATCAGATTAAGTTTGATAGTTTGAGTAAGATTTGGAATCTTAGTAGAAAAGGAAACAGAATGAGATTCTGATTTCCTATTTATAGACTGTTGCAGGCTAATGGGCCGAAACTCGGTTTAGCTTAACTTATAGGATAGCCCAACTCATAGAGTGGGTAGTTCACAAGGTGATTTTAAGCATAGGCCCAATCAGGATTGGGTTGAGGCCTTGGGCCGTGACATATTTATTTAGTTATTAGGCCTCGTCAAGCCCAAGATAATTTTTTGCCCTAACAGTTAACCCCCCACTCTCTAAGTTAAAGAGTGCTTAGCTTAGAGAGTAGATTTAATTGAATGAGTGCAGACTGAACGGATTAGTGATAGCAGCTCGTTAGGTCGGATGGATCGTTGTGTGGATTGGGTCAATGAGTGCAAATCGAATGGATATATACGGATAATCAAAGAAGACATTAATATCCATTCAATTAGTGTAGTGAAGTTGTCGAATCTGATCATTCAATTCTATAGTGACTATTTTATTCTCTCCATCCACTTCATTTGTAACTTATAATTCATTGACATTACTAGTCCTAATTTTGTAGCGTTTAAAACCATTAACAATTGTTTGTGGTTTCACATCAATTGACCATGCATCAACTGCATTTACAGTTCCATCAATGACACTTATTTTTGTTAGTTCTAAGAAATGATCTTTTATCCGTTTCAAAAGCAAGCAATTGAAGCGCTGAATTGAAATCCTAATATTATTAAAATATGAATTGAAATCCTAATACTGTACTACTAAAACATGAATTATAAAATCAAAAATCAAAACTATAATTTTTGTAACTACACCTTCATTAAGTTATAACCTCTTTATAGTAATAAAATCAGTTAGTCCACCATTATGACTATAGAGAGGTTTTATTATTATTATTATATATATATATATATATATTGTACGGGCTGGGCCAGGCCGAGGCAAGACCAATCTCGTCCTTGGTCCATCCCCGAATTTGGTGATCGATTTTCAACCTAGGCCTGATCCAAATCCTGAAAAATTAGGAGAAACTCCGCCCCATTTGGGCAGGTCGGGACAAGTCCCTACGAGGACGGGTATTATGCCCATCCCTAATAACACATGCCTATTTGGTAATGCTAAAAATCAATTCTCTTTTCCCTTTATTAATGGATGACTGAGCCTCCCATCAATTCTTAATTTGATCGTGGAATGTTCACATTACAGATTCCAAAATTTTACCTCGTAGTTAACTTTCTGATCATCTAATGGAGTTTCCTTCTACTTAACCTACCCATATATTGATCCCAAAGAACTAATCGTGCGCATCCCATCCAAGAATCCAGCCATGCTTCTATACTTACGGACTACATAGTTTATATCGATGGCCGAAGTTTGGGCTAATTGATCTTCGGGATTTTTCTGCATTGTGAAAGATTTTATGATAGTACGATTTGTGTTATCATGGCTGTGTTCAAAATCTGAATTTTCTTTTGTTCTTCTTCTTTACTCAAATACAGAAATATGTCTCTTTATCCGCCTAAGTGAAAGCTATAAATGATCACCATACATATAATATTTGACTGTGAAGCATGCCTTTTGTCAAAACATTACACACAGCTAAAGAAGAAAAGAATGGTTAGGCACCTTGTTAACGTTCTTTCCACTTAGTGAATTTACATTCAATGGATCCCAACGATATTCACAGGCGGATTAGTATAAAGTTAAGAGGGTTTCATCAATATGAAAATATCTCTGAAACCAGAGAACGAGAGAGATATATGCATGTATAACAGTATCAAGTTCAGAAAATACCCAAAAAATACAGTAGACTAAAAACGCATGTTTCTTTTCGTTTTAAACTCATGCTCTGCGAGGATGCATGGATGGAGGTCATATGTATGCCAGAAAGAGATTGAATGCTATATCATTAAATACAAACAGGGTGTTCAAATATATTGTTGCATTATTCTAATATTAACTGATGAATAGGATATTCGCTTCCCTCCCCAACAAAAGAGGAGGAGCATATATATGAATGAAACACAAACCAATAGATATATAGAGAAGTGAAGCTATCAAAAGGTATGGAGCTCCTGATATATGACGAAACTGAACCTGCATATAAAAGGAAGAAAAGAGCACACAAAGACAATAAATAGCTTGTTTCTAACAAAGTCTGCTATTTGACAGTTCTCAGGAGGGAAGAATCAACTGATCATCAGAACTTGCTGTTATAGTTCCCTGGTGAGACAAGTATGGTGTCTATAGCACTTACGGAATTAACAACAGAAGCTAGCTATTACTCAAATTAATGGCACTGCATATTGGCAAAACCATGCATCATACCATTACTAACAGTTAATAATACTCTATCTATTGGAGTGAAGTATTGCTGCAATCTTCAGGTCTACTAATTATATGCAAAAAAANTTTTTTTTTTAAGGGGTGGTTTTGTGTCTGTTTGGTGGGTTTTTGTGTGACGAAGGCTAAACATGTTCTGTGGGTTCTTCCCTTTTCTCTGGTAAGGTTTATTTTCATGTTTCGCGGATGACTTTGGATGTTTTGAGAAGATTACTACTGTATTTTAGGATTAAAACTGTGTGATTGGAGAAGCTATTGGGGTGATTTTAGGAGAAGAGGTAGACGAGTTTTGGGTTTCAAAGTGGTGGCAAATCTCTTGAAGTTGAATTGGGATTGGGATTAAGACTGGTTGAGTTTTAGTTACCTCCTAAAAAGAAATTAAACATATACAAAAGTAAGCAGTATTCCAACTAATGCATAAACAAATTATGAACACAGGAGATGTGTTTTGATGCTTCAAGTTATCACATTTCATGTTTAATAGACATAATATGATATGTGAATGACTCATAAACACTTTCAATGGATTTAAAATGAAGAAAAGTAACGAAAAATTTTCTTATCGTGATGAGATTTTCGGGTTAACGATGCCAGTCGGGGAGAGTTTCGTGTCTCCTCTCAAGTTGCAAGTCGTCGTTGGCAGATGATTGTCAGGGCCCCACGGTGGGTGCCAAACTGTAGATGTAAAAAATCTACCATCTTGAAAATAAGGTCTGATCCTGTGAGGTTAAGGCTACTAACAATCCGCTAGACCTGCATCATGAAAGGGCAAGCGTGAAGCTTCCGAAAAACACCGGGGTGGTGTTTGCCGTAGGCACTCCGATGCTCAAGTCAGTAAGGCTGAAAGAGATTATTTGATAAGAATTAAGGAGACGAAGAATTACCAGGAGTCTTGTCGGAAGCTAGGACTACGGCTGAAGGTGTTGGGTTCTTGGGAGCAAGAACTTTAGGAGCAAAGAGATGGTTTTGAGTAGTGTAGATTGACTATAGGCGATTGCCTCCTTAATGAGAGGGCAAACCTCTGTTTTTATAGTGAACCCAAGGGGTTGGAATCCTAGTAGGACATTGAGTCCTCTTTTTTGGGAGATAATCCCTATCAAGAAAGAAATATGATTTCTTGACCTTATCAGATTAAATTTAATAGTTTAAATAAGATTTAGAATCTTAGTAGGACACTAAGTCCTATTTTTGGAGATAATCCTTATCATGATAAAGATATGATTTTTTGACCTTTTCAGATCAAGTTTAATAGTTTGAGTAAGATTTGAAATCTTAGTAGAAGAGGAAATAGAATGGGATTCTAATTTCTTATTTATGGACTGTTGCAGGCTAATGGACTGAAACCCAGCTTAGCTTAACTTATAGGATAGCCCAAGTCATAGAGTGGGTAGGTCGCAAGGTGATTTTAAGCATAGGTCTAATCGAGATTGGGTTGAGGCCCTAGGCCGTGACATGTTTATTTTATTATTGGGCCTCGTTAAGCCCAAGACGATTTTTGGCCCTAACACTGGTAGTGGCTTGTGATGTTAGAATATGTGTGCATTTTAAATTGATGAGAAATTGAGTTGATTGTGCGTTGAATTGTTGAATTTGGAAGAGTTAATTGTGGGGATGTGACTGTAACAAATGAAAAGTACAGAAATTGTGGGAGTGTAATTGTAAAAAATGAAAACTGATATAAACAGTAATGGATACCCGTGGATCCACTCATACTCACAAAGGATAGTGTACAGGTCTAATATTTTAAGCCTGTTTAGAATCAGTCTTTTTGGGCTCGTATCCATTGGATCTATAACCACACACGGTAGTGTATAGGTCTAATATTTTAGGCCATTTAGAATCAATCATTTCGGTCCATACCCGTTTAGCCAAGTCTAATTCTAAGTAGGATCTATTTCGTTACGAAGACGATGATGAAAAAATATATGTTCCTAAAGTACCGTATCTTAATATTAGTGGTGGATCAATTTCTTTTTTTAATATTAATATGTAAATTTATATATTTTGACCCACTCTAACAAAAATATTAATGGACAAAAATAGTAATGTATAATAAATTTTTATTTTGGTCTACCCTAAAAGAAATTTCTGGATCCGCTACTGCTTAATATAATGGACACTTTGTTATTATTCTTAGCACAGTAGACTAGATAGTAGAAAAACATGCTTTTGCAGTCAATGTGTTGATGCAATAAATCCAAAGGGCAGTAGTATACACGTGGGAGTTTGTTGGCTTTCCACCTTGCTTATAAGTTTAACATCTTTTGTCAAAAACTTCATAATTACTTCATTAATTACTCCAGACACTGGGGACTTGTAATATAGGTAGGTTGTAAAGTGAAAGACAAGTGTCTCTTCGGAGACATCCGATAGAATTGGTATGATACACAGAAGATTAGCATGACCTTGTGCAAGGATGATATGTATAAGTCAAGAAATTGTTCAAATTTTTTAATCACCTTTGAACAGTCGAGTAGTTAAACCAGAATTCTTGATTATAATATTTAAGAAAATTTAAGTTTAAATCACCTCGATTTTTAATAAGAATTACTAGTGAAGTTAAAAAAAAAAAAAAAAAAAAAGTCCTTTGAATTTTGTTAATCTCTTCACTTGTATTGCGGTTTGATAAAAGCCTTGAAGAAGTCATGGAGAAATCGGTACATTTTCTCAAATTGGTTAAGCTTGTACCAAAGTACTATTAATTGAGTCCCATATCCCCCAATTCTCTTACTTTGGCCCTTGTTTCTTTTCTTGATTAATTTATTCTCCTACCCTAAATTAATCATTATATAACATCTTCGTATATAGGACTTACTTAATAATTTAATATAATTTTAGTAACACCACTTATATTTATTGCACGACTTACACAACATTTTTAGACTTTTTAGATGATTAAAACTTGTTTGAGGTGTGCAATATAAAAAATTATCTTTTCATTTATAAATTTTTTTTTTTTTTTTTTTTGGGTGAATCTTGCAATTGCCTCTCCCGCAACTCGAAGACAAGATTTCTTAGGTATAATTAATCCCAATGGCTAAAGGACTTACACATCTGACTAGAGCTAAGGTGGGCCATGTCATGCTTAAAAATTCAAGGTTTATCATGTCGTGAGCCATGCCATGCTAAGACCTACAGAAATTCGTGCCTTGTTGTGTCGTACCGGCCCACAACACAGCCCACTATATAGCGTGTTGTGCTGCGGGCCATGTCGTGGGCCTAGCATGGGGGTCGGCCCCTACAATTTTTTTTAATATTTAATATTTATAAATTATATTAATTTTGATTTATTATTAATAATTATTATAAATATTTTTATGTTATATTAAGTGATATTTTGTATTTGTATTAATTAAGAATATATATAATGACTAGCTATGAAATGCAATAAAGTAACGAGACATTGAGATATTAATTGAATTTCAACACTTTTTATTACTTATAATTATAAATTACAAATACAAACTTACAAATTAGGTTTAAGAATTAATGTTAACAATTATATCTCTATTAGAAATATATGTACAACTATCTCAACTTTGATTCTAATTTATAAATATTTAAAGTGAATGATTGATCAAAAAAATATCATACATCTTCATTTTCATTAAAACGGGCTTGTGGCGCAAGACTTCATCTTCATTTTCCTAAATAAAATATATATAAACTTAAAAATTATGATTAAGAACGACCCATCTATAACTCTATATCGGACGATAAGGGGAGAGGTTAATTTTTTATATCATGAAATAGGTGTCAACAGAAAATTCACTTATAAAAGCATTAGTGCTTTACTTCGATGACCCTTTTTAACAACCCTGGCAGCCTTATTTAATTAGAATAAAATATCAAAGGGAATTACATAAAGGTAGATAATCTTTGGAATAACAACATTGACCTACGTCATCATTGTTGACATTGAGGGCAGTCCACCCTAGTCCAGTGATGGCAAATATGCGGGTATGGTATGGGTTGGCTAAAAACCCAACCCATAGCCACATGAAGTTTAATAGGATGGGTTGGGATGGGTATTGAGTAGGGTTGGGTTGGGTTTTGGGGGTTCTGGGTTCCCATCCCATAAATTTTAATTTGCGTATTTTTAACTTAATTTTTGTATTTTTAATCTAATTTTTGTATTTTCCGTCAGGATGTGTATTTCAAGTTTTGACTATTTCATATTTTGATTTCAAACCTAATTTATTAAAAATAATTAAAATATGAAATTTAAATATCTTTTTTTTTTTTTTTTGTTTTTTTGTTTTTTGGTTTTAACTTTTACCAGCCACTCAATAAATACAATTACCAATGGTAATAGTATTTCACTATAATATAAATTTCATACTAATTAATTGGACTTCTATAGGTAGCGGATCACCATACCCAAAAATTTTAATATGTGTTTGCTGTTCAAGTTTTGTAATTTTAATTCTTTTTTTTTTTTCCCCTATTTTAAAGCCCAATTTATTAATATTTTGAGATATTATTTCGTGATGAAAAGTTTCGTCTAATCATTCATACTTCCTACTATTAATATTATTTTAATACCATAAGTAACTAATAACAAAATATATAAATCAATCTATCAATTTGGCAATATTTCATTTTATTTTCTGAATACAAGATTCGAAATTTATGATATTCTTTTATCAATTTGTTGTATAATTATAGAGTAATACTACAGTCACCGGGAGTAGTACACCAAATTTGTGTACTGAATGACATAGCAAAATCATAACCGTTGATTAATATTAAATTATAATTAATCAACGGTCAGGATTTTGCTACGTCATTCGGTGCACAGATTCAGTGAATTACTCCCGGTGTCTCTATTATTTTCCATAATTATATATACACATGATTACCTTACATAATGTTGTCCTAGGTCTTTTCATATCCACATTTATACTTGTAACTTTAATGTTATTATTATTTTTAAATTTGTTAACAATATAAAAAAAAATCGTTGTAGATTTTGCCTGGCAAAATAATTCAATATTTAATGTCTAAATTATCAACTTCTCTAAGCTCCATTATTTCTTTAAGCCATAGATGACAAAATATAACTGTGGTGGAAATAATTAATCCATATAAGGAAACAATATAATTAAGGTGGAAAGAATTGAGGAAATAATTAAGTAACATATAGTTATAATAGGAAGATTTGAAAATTATTTGAGCAAGATAATTATGATGGAAATAATTAAGAAAATGAATTATTTGGTCAATTAAATTTGATATCTTTTCATTTATGTAATTAGCTCCCATGATTATTTTGTTTTCTTTATTTAACAGAAAATATATGTATATGACCATTGTGGTAACAATTTTCGAAAGAATTAAGAGTATTAATGATTTACTTGAAGTTTTTAGAAACTTACCATAAACATATACATGTATCTACATCAAATATGTTAATATAGACTTAACCATTTATGTTTATTCTTTCATAAAAGTGTATAATTAAAAAAATAAATAAATAAAAAAAGATATATATATATATATATACGGGTAAAACAGAATGGCTATGTGTATACCCCACCCGAGCAATTAATTATTGATAAAACTAGGGGTGGGTGGGTTTGCGTACCTACCCAAAATCAAAGAAACCCAAAATCAAAGGAACACTATAATAAATTGGTTTTCAAAACATGGGCTAAAAGATATTGAGGGCAGTCCAAATAAATTGTTAAATGAAATGGATTTGAACATTTTATTATTTAATAATTTTTACTTATTACAAAATTATCCTTTTACTAATTCTCATTCAAACATATTTGTTCTTTTTCTCTCTCCACTTCCTGCTCACAGTCTCCAACCTTCTTCCTGTCTTTTCTATGGTTAAAAATAATCAAAACTCAATTGTTCATCTTAAATATAATATTAAGGAAATGTAAATGTCCTATAAATTGATTTGAATATGAAAAATGTTACACCTCGACAGAAAACTTGTTGACTTTATTTATAACGCATTAATGGTCCCTGTTTCTAATAAATTGGAAGACTAATAAAATGTTGGCATTTATATCTAAGAAACTTTACAATTTCAATATGAGGGATGTCGGTCCATACAACCAAAACTAATTAAGCCCTAATCTCCTAAAATTAATACCACACTTTCCAACCAAATATGTCTTACTTTTAAAATAGCGATAAGATATATTTTTCTTGTACGGTAAAATTTCTCTTCGAAGAGGGTTTTATTAGATTCTTCAATTTAGCCATTAACCAAAAAAATGAATTACTAATATCCATGAAATCACTTTTGCAAGTCTAAAGAGCATTCATTCATTGAACATGAGATGTAAAAAAAAAAAAAAAAAAAAAGAAAAGTTCTTGATTCATCGTAAATGATTCTTTAATCTGTCTTTCATAGTGCTTCTAATCCTATGTTCTGTGAACGTACAAAATATATTGATATTAATTGTCATATTATTCGTCATAAACTCAAAGAGGGCATGATCAAGACTTCTCATATTTCCACTCATGATCAACTTACAGACTTGTTCACCAAAGTACTTGACAGTAAGCTTCATCACCAACTGGCGGGTATAGTGTACATAGTTATTGACTAAAGAGCTTATTACCCAACCACAAATGGAAAAGTTAATTTTCTACATTATGAAATGGGTTTCAATAGAAAATTCATGTATAAAAGCAGTACTTTGATGAACGTTTTCAACTACCTTGGTAGCCTTATTTAATTAGAATAAAATATCAAAGGGAATTGCGTAAAGGTAGATAGTCATTGGAATAACAACATAGACCTACGTCATCATAGCTGATATTGAGGGCAGTCCACCCTAGGGCCTTGTTCAACTCTCAAGTGGGCTACTTGGGCCAGAGACTGTAATGATATTTGTCGGAACGCTTTAGTAAATGGGTTTTCAAAACATGGGCCTAAAAGATATTGAGGGAATGGATTTGAGTGAAAATAAATTGTTAAATCAGTGGTGCCTTATTTTAAGTGAAAATGGATTTAAACATTTTATTATTTAATAATTTTAACTTATTACAAAAATATCCTTTTACTAGTTCTCATTCACATATTTGTTCTTTTCTCTCTCTACTTCTTTCTCACCATCTCCAACCTTTTTCCTGTCTTTTCTACTGTTTAATATAATTTAATCTCAATTGGTCATCTTAAATATAATATTAAAGGAAATGTAAATGTCTCATATATATATTATTGATACTTGATTTTGACATTAACGATTTCGCACGTGCAAAATATTATAAAGTCACACGTGACCTAATTATAATAAATGGATGAGGTGTTGTAAGCACAGTGTCATGCAAAGATGTAAGTGTAAAGTTGACAAGATAATTTTTATAGTGGTTCAGATGCATAAAGCGAATTTTACATCCACTGTGTTCGTTTATATAAATTTGTTTTTGATCTCTAGATAGGCTTACAAGAGGTCGCGAACTGCGATCTGGTATTACAAGTGTTTG